AAAATTGGACTACTTGTTGAATGGTTTAATAGCATAGAAAGTTAAAGGTGCAAAACATTCTCTTCCAGAAGCCCTGTAGATTTTACAGGAGGCATTGAACTTTGCTTATGGGTAACAGACTTTCAAGGCATTTTGGAGTTGTCTAGATCTAATTTTTAGCACACTATCCATAATTGGAATAATTTTATGAAATATTGGTTTAATATATTTTGCCATTTTTCATATATATATATATATATATATATATATATATATATATATATATATATATATATATATGAGAGAGAGAGATAAATATTAATATATGACATACATATGCATATGTAAACATCACAAATAAAATATAATAAGGAAGATTTTTTGTTAACTGAATAATTGATGTCATGGTTATTAGTCTCTTGTTGCACAGCAGTAACTTTATAGTTTTAGTAAGATAATAGAATTCAAGTACTGTAACTCTAAACGTAGTTACCTTGCTCTACAAGGATTGTGTTTTCAGGTTTATTTTAGCAAGGTATTTAGTATGGGAAGAAACTTGCTTCATCTAAGGTAACTTCTGAAATTAAAAGGTCAGCCACCTTAGTTCTTTAAAGATCAATTACTGCATTGCAAATTGATTTTTCTCATACTTTACAAGGATAGCATTTTATGTTCAAAAGGCAAGGTTTTAACTTCAATTAATAATTTCAAAATTATAAATAAGATAGATTTAATTTCAACAAAAGTTATCACTTTAATTCTTTTTATGCTACCTGTCTTGGTTATTCCTTACTGAATTTTAAATTGTTAAGATAATGATTAATATTAGTATTAATTTAGATTATCTTCCTGGAAAATATTAGAAATGAGAATCTTCTTTGCTGACATGCTATTATTATTTGTTTCTGATTGCTACAAAACTACAAACCCTAAACTTACATACAGTCAGCCATTTTTATCAACCTATTGAGTTTTTCCCAAGGACTGATAGTTGTTGTTTGATGGTGTTAAAGGTATTATCACAAGATGTAAGCTGCTTCAAATATTTTTTTTGTTATTGTTGTTGCTTTTTGCACAATCAGCCAGGTATTTAGATTGGATTTGCCATTTTTATCTCCCGGTACTTAGGATAGGCAGATATTTCATGGTGTTTAAAGGTATTGTTGCAGGATGTAAGTTGTTTCAAGTAAAACTGCCTTTTGCAATTTACTGATGGTGATTTTTGTCAATGCAGATGGTGTTTAAGTGACTTTCCAGATATTGTGATGTGTACCCAAGATGCCTATTTCTATTAGTTACCTACTATCTGTTGTCTAGNACACACAAACACATCGACCACTAAGAAATGTTTTAGAACATGAGGACAGGAACAAAACTCTTTTTTGCAATTCTTTAATGCAGTCATTTCATTTCTTGGAAATTCATAGTTGTCTTCCACAGTTATTGCATTGAAGCTAAAGACATGAGATATGTATTACCTCTGACACCTTCTTGCATTCCAAAGCATAGTATTTGAGTCTAAAATTATGCACAGGACTAAACATTATTCTAGCTGTATTCAATATTCTTTCAAGAGTATACAGCTCCATTTCATTACATGTTAGCCATCTGATTTAAAGTAATTACACTGTTGTATAATATTTCCTAACAAGTTGCTAAATTTAGTAAGTTTAATGAAATTATTTTGAGTACCCCCTCTCCTTAATTCTGCTTATCTCCTCAAGGGGTATCACCGTTATAGCCCCACTAAAGTCCAATTGACTTTGTATGAATAAAAATAAAGAATTATAATCCTATACAATCCTCTAACTTTTGGAAATTTCTACATCAGTTTCATAAAATATTGTTAGAGAAGAAAAAAATTGAAATTTTAGCAATTACCAAAATTTATAATTAACTTTGAAAAACCACATGCTTCTAGTTGGCAAACATATATTGTATTTTTGTACAGTCCAGAATCTAATAAGTAACCTTTCCAATTGTGTTTATTGCATAATTTTATTTAAAACATTCTACATTTATATGTCTAATATTTGATACAATTATATGCAACTGGAAAAAGAGAAACTTACTGAACAACTATACTGAAGAGCTAATGCATTTAGTGTATCTCCTTCTTGTATATCTTTAGTTATAAATACAATATCATCCATTCTTTCTCTTGAAGTGCTTCTCCGAGTTTTCTCTTTTCCCCGAGGTCGCAGTTCATATATTTCAACTTCATCTTCCAAAACATCACTGTCAGAACTAAGATTGTTCCCAAATGGATATATGTGGCTATCCACTGAAGTGGGTTGTACAACAGCTGGGTGTTGAAAACTTAAAGTCTGGCTTTTTCCTGTCATTCTACCAGGAGAAATCTAACAGGGAAAAGAGAATGAAAAGAGGGCAATTAAGCACAAATGTTTTTAAAGATGTATACACATTATTTCATTCAGGTCCCTATTGACATATTTATTCCTCTAGATAATAACTCAATGAACACAGATCCTTCAGGTTCATATTTTTTTTAAAAAAGTGAATACAAATAAACTGTTGAGAAAGCATTATTTCCATATAAGACTGGAGCTAGCTATAGCAGAAGAAAGTGGTTATTGCACAACCCAATTGGCAATACTATAAAAACTTTGTACTAGGATACATTAGAAACAGCATTAATTAGATATAATGAACACTTGCTTGCAACAATCTTTGATCAAAATGTTTGAGAAGTCAGAATTCAAAATAATAAAAAGAATTAGATAAGACATCATGAACATCCTTGTTTGTAACAAGTTTGATCAAAATGAACTGAATATATACACTCCGATTCCTGCCTCCTGCAATTAGACATTAAAAGACTGCTATTGATGAACAACTTCCAAGGTGACCTAAGATCCCTGATATTAAATACAGAAAAGGGAGCAATTGTTCGGTTCTTCCGGATCAAGGGCTGTGCTTGGTCTCTGATGGCTATGCCACAGAAGCCTCTCCAAACTGTTGCAAAACCTGAAGGTGAATTTCATTTGCGCAACTGTTATTTAAGCTTAGTTAAAATCAATTAGTTGATATGATCCACCGGTTGCTTTTGTCACAATTTACATCTGGCAAGAACTTCTTTACGTCTCCCGCAATGCTTTTGAAGCCTCAAGCACTTACACGTAGGCAGGAAGGAGGGTTCGGACCAAGGAAAACTCCAGGTCCCACCACTTATTGAAACAGTCCCACTAACTAAAAGGCAAATGAAAACTCGCAGATGATAAACGTGTCATCTGGCAGGACTCCTCTGATTTTAACCCCCCCCCCAAAAAAAATCCCCACTCTAATAATAGAAGGAAAAGATACAACGTCCTGATGCCACGCATCAAAAGCCGGGAAACTGGGACAGGAAAATAGGATTCCAACAAAGAGCATGGGCGAGTTTGGGATGGAAAAAGGCACCAGGGTCTGTAGCAGATCGGCAAAGCTCTTCAGGGGACCCCCGCAACATCTCTCGCTCTCGGCATTTGACCAGCCCCCGCCCGACTCCAGAAATAGTTTTTTCTGTAAAACTGCCCTCCTTTTGGTAATACATACAGACTGGCAAGCAGATTACTTACCAAGCTACCCAGGAGCGGCCATTTGCAGGGGGTGCGTTTTGCGGCGCCGGCTTAACGTTCTCCGCGGATGCCACGATGGGGAAGCCTGGGAACTGGAACGAAATACGGCTGCTTGCCAAGAGCGAAAGCGCCCGCGCGTCGACAAGATGGCGGCCACTCTGCTCGGCTTCCTCTCGTGAGATCTCAAAATCCCGCGATGGCATTTTCCAAAATGGCAATATACTACGCTCGCGAGATTTTGCAACGGCCCATCTACTCTTACAGAGTTTTCCTCTACAATAATTTCGTAAGATCTGTGCTTGAAGTACTCTCCACCCATAGTGCAGACAGTCGTTAATATTGTGATATTAGCGTGTTTTGTATACTGTACACCGGCGTTTTCAAATTCGGTTGTTTTTAAAATGTGTGGAATTCTGGGTGTGATATCCACACATCTATGCTAAGTTTTAAAAGGACCCATTGCAGCAATCGGATGTGTTTGTGTCTGTTATTACGCACAGGAAATATTGTGAAGACTTAGTCTCCGCTTCAGAAAAATAGTACTGTACCATTAAGCTGAAGAAAATGCAGAAAAGAGGAACCAAACTAATACAGGAACTTAAGCAGTTCCCCTAATAGAAAATGATTATGAAAATGATTAGTTTTTAAAGCTTAGAAAAAGTGTAAGAGGATGTGTATAAAAATGCACGGGGGAAAACATTGATCTTCTAAAACGATATTCAATCAGTTAATTTAATGACAGCTATTCTTTCTTGTGCTCAAGTTGCTGAGAAAAATAGTGGAGATACTGTTTTGGCCCCCCTCGTTCCACACCAAAGTACACTCNCTTTATATAAGAATCTATAGTTTACCATTCACAAGCTTTCTTTAGACTTTATGGAATAAATATATGATGCATTACACTAAATATATGCATTCTACAATTCATATGGTTGATTCATCACTCTAAACAAAATTAGAAATATATATATATTTATTTATATTCTTTTTTAAATAATACTCTGGACAAAGGCCTTTTGATAAATTCTGAAACTTACATAAGTCTCATTTTGTGAAAATTTCTTTTCCAAATGACAATTAAAACTATTTCATATGCTTCACTTATGTAGTATACTCACAAATCTGATATTCTGAACTTAATTGCTTTGTTTTAGTGGTATTTCTTAATTTAGTACTGCAGGTTTTTCCTTTAACTTCATGTTATCTTTTCATAGTCTTTTCAGTCCTTCACATGATGAAAATGTAGTTTGGAAAAGATAATAACATACAGCAACACTGCATAAGGAATTATAGCTTACACATTCTTGACCTTGGTTTCAAAATTGACTTGTTTACATAATTTTTATGGAGAAACCTTCCATTTGTAAGTATACTACTTATTTATGAAACACTATAGATTAATATTTTTCAGTTGTAGAAATAAGGCACAATAAAACCCAAGACTGTTATACTGTATCTTCCTTTAATATTTTCTTTTCAAATGCCTTAATTCAAGTTATAAGAAAAGAAAAAAATGTAGCATATCTGAGGTACTCAACTTCTGGTAGTTCAAAAACTGTAGATGGTTGAAAAATATTACTATATGTATGCCTTATGGCACAGAGATCTTTAAAAGTCTTGCACAGCTTATTATTTTTTTTGTTTTCTAATTCTATCAGTCAGCCATACTTGACCTTCTAATGCATTCATTCATGTGCCAATTGTAAAACATGTTTTTAAATTTTCAGAAATATTCCACTTGTATTTCTTTGCTTTGCAACTAGTCATATGCTAAAATGAAAAGAATGACCTTTTCCCTCTTAAGTATACATTTGCAATACACTTCCAATAATACCCTAAGGAACAATAGGTTTGCTTTCCAAAATAATATTGATTAGGTAGCTAATGCAGGAAAGCTCTGAATGGATACAAAAATAATAGAAAAGTTCCAAATTAGAAGATTCAAGAAGAAAATAAGCCAATAATACTGCATTCATTTAATGGAATGAATTAATATATTTTTATATATTTTGTGTAGCTGCCATCTTCTAAGTCTTATCCATGTACAGAATTAGCTTTATAAAGTGCGCTAAACCATAGCTGCTGAACCAGTGTTCCACTTAAAAAAAATTAATTAGCAGACCAAGTCAAAAAGTTTCTTAAATGATTAGGTTAAAATAATATACCAAATGAAAGCCCAAGCATTTAATGGCTTAGCACAATTTTCAGCTCAACTGTACATGTGATACATTAGTGGCAATTGATTGTTTAACTTCCACAATGTCATTGTTATGATCTTGGAAGAAATCTGATATTGTATTACCGTTCCTGGTTTCCTGCAAGTAGCTAGTACTCTTTCACTTTAATTCTAAATCATTTAGAAGGGAAGAGGGAGTTTGTACAAACTGCTTGTGTACAATAAACAGCTCTTCTGCATTTGAAGATATGTAGTATTATACAATGCAATGAGCACTTCAGGAACAAAGTGGTTCAAAGAATGTTGAATTATTTCACCTTTTTCCTGTTTAAGTTTTCATTCTCTGAAACTCATTGCAGTTAGAACAAAGGAATCATATGAATCATTGGTTCCTTTCATTATATAGTGCTCTTCAAATAATTCAAACTCATTATCCTATTCAGCAATACCAAGCAGTGTGCTTCTTCAGTAAATCTAATAAACCAAACTATTCCTAATTCCACTATACTGTGATAGAAGGTATTATGGCTTGATATAAATACAATCTCCATACCATTAAAGTCAGACTAAACATTTTTAAGTAAATATGAAGTTTACTGTAAGGGACTTCACTTATATTGATTTCAGTCCTATTGATTTCAATGGCAGGGTAGCAGCTTAAATCCATATATTTTAGCAGATCCAGATAAACTTTTAATTTTTCAATATATTGACAACTTTTCCACAACACGGTATATTACCATCAGAGAGATAGCCACTTTACAGCTCCACTCAGAACATGTTCATGCTTCTTTGCAGAATATACGGCAAGAACGCTCAGACATTTAGCATGTAAAACCAAAACTTAATCTTCATGAAATAGGCTGCTTTATATCACTTTCTAATGGCTTTGACTGAGATGGTGCAACTAATGAATATTCCACTGTAGAATGATGACTGACATCCACTTTGACCAAAACTTCATAATATAAAAGATAAAAAACAGGTGTTATAATGCCTACTACCACCATTATTACCACTGCTGTCCACCATCCAATTCCCCAGTCTGCACCATAATAAGGATCTTTCTGTCTGACAGGTTTACCATCTGGTTCAAAGTTCAATTGTTGGGTTGATAAAGCAGAAACAACTTCATTAAGATTTTCTTTTTTAGTAGCATTACACTTCACTATATGTTCTATATCACGGTCCACTTCTTTCAAAAAGTTACCAGCTGTTTCAGTAGACGAGAACAATTCAGGTGCTAGTGATGAATCTGAGAATTCTGTGGAATACGAAGAGGAGGCAGATCTTGAGTTCTGTCTATTTTTTGGAAAACAGTGTGTCTCCGTCAGAAGGCTGAATTTTTTAACTGGAATTTTAATAGTTCTTAGTGCAAAGAAGTCCTGATCTGTGATAAGATTGTTCACCCGTTTGATATCTGCTACCTGAAATGTTATAATAAAACAAATTAGCTTCATTTAAAAAGTTAACTGAATCACTCCTGTTACGTTCAACTCATTTTTTAAAAAGAAACTGTTCTGTCAATATTGATACAAAGTCTTGCTTTCAATATCAAACTAAATTATGTCAAATAGTAAAACCGTATACTAGTTTCCATATGGCTTGTTCTCATTTTACAAAACANGGTATTATCACAAGATGTAAGCTGCTTCAAATATTTTTTTTGTTATTGTTGTTGCTTTTTGCACAATCAGCCAGGTATTTAGATTGGATTTGCCATTTTTATCTCCCGGTACTTAGGATAGGCAGATATTTCATGGTGTTTAAAGGTATTGTTGCAGGATGTAAGTTGTTTCAAGTAAAACTGCCTTTTGCAATTTACTGATGGTGATTTTTGTCAATGCAGATGGTGTTTAAGTGACTTTCCAGATATTGTGATGTGTACCCAAGATGCCTATTTCTATTAGTTACCTACTATCTGTTGTCTAGTTTTCTTTTTTATTGTCCTGATTCTGCCAAGACAACTGTTCAGATTTTCTTTCTTATCAAAAGTTCTTAAGTCTGAAGTATTATGTGACAGGTGCTTGTCTGTTTGAATTCTGAAGTCTCAAAGCCCTTTATCTTTTTTCATTTTCTATTAATATAGCCTTTATTGTCACTGTACAAAATAAGTACAACGAAATTGGTTACTTTATATTACTTTGTCTGTTTCGTGATCTTACCAGTTCTTGCTTGCAGGTAAATGGTATTTCTTGCTGATATTCCACTGCAACATTATTGCTAGTTTGTCGGGCTGTTATTTGTAGTCAGTCTGTATGTTTTTATTATATGCAACAAAATGTAAAATTACATTTGCAACATCTGATATTGGCCTGATATTGAATGTGGATATTGTAATATATCGGTATAGTATATGTGTGAATCCAAGTGATGTGACCTTTTGTGATTGACAGATGAAAATACATAATAAAACAAGCCCATCATTCATGTTATACATGCAAAATAATGAAATTGATAATCAATCAAACCAATTTCTGGGTAATCCAGTAAATAAGGGAGAGTGAATAATGGACATGAATAATGCATAATTGTCCCACAAGACAATTTAATGGCTGAGAAAATAATTCCATTTGTGATAATTTGAGTACATGGAATATACATGTTGATCCAACTAATAACTACTAGAGGAAATCCATATTCAACAAAACTTGTTTCAAAAATTTCCATTAAACATATCAAAATCCTTTCTCCATGTCTAACAAAACTATGTAATAATATTAATCAAAGTAAAATCCTTAGCAAAATAGATGTCCAATACATCTGTATAATATTCAGAATGACTATGATAATACATGCAGTACATTTAATTAAACATTCTCTCTCTTACAGACATACATACACATCAGTGACGTGCGGTGAGCTTTATGGCTGGTGAGGCAAAGCCCTGGCGCGGCTTTCCAAAAGCCCCTCTGAAGCCCCGCCGCTGTGTCCGCCATACTTGCAGGATGCGTCCCGCTCTATAGCGGACACAGTGCTGGGGCTTCGGCGGGGCTTTCCGAAAGGGCAGCTCTCTGAACGCGGCATAAGCCATGGCCAGGGCAGAGGGGAAAGCGGCGGCAGTGGAGGAAGCAGCAGCCGATGAAGTTCCTGGGCCTTCCCCACCAGCCAGAGGGCCCCCTCCTCCTCCTCCTGGGCCACCGGGACCTTCTCTAGCCCATGCCCGGAGGGCCCCACTGCCACCAGGAAGCCGCCCGCCCACCCAGGAAGCCCCTTCGGCCAGCCGGGGGAAATGCTGCGGGCCTCCGGGGAGGGGGGAGCGGGGCACTGACCTGCCTGCTGGCATCCAGGGCGGTGAAGAGCAGCCTGTAGGCGGGGCAGCTGAGGTTCATCCAGCCAAAGCGCGCACCGTCTGCGGGCAGCAGGTTCTCCAGGGCCGGCCGGCTCTCCCGGGGCACCGCCAGCCCCACCACCACCAGCGCCAGTGCCCCAGCCAGCACCAGATGCAGCGCCATCGCCCGGCCCGACCGGCGGCTCAGCTCGCAAGACGGGAGGCGCTCCGCTCGGGCTCCCCTCGCCTCGCCTGCTCACTGCCATCCGCCCGCCGCCCAGCAGGGAAGGCACCGCAAAGGATGGGTGGGCGGGTGGAGCGAGGCCTGGAGCCCCCCTCAAGATGGCCTCCACCTGGCTGGCCTCAGAGTTGCGGGTCCCGCGCTCTGTCCGCCCACCCGCGGTAGAGCCTCTACAGCTAGGAAGGGCTGCGTGGGCCCCGTGGGGGAAGAGCCGCCCTCCCCTGCCCTCCCCCCATGGCCCTTCCGGGCCCAAAGCCCCCATCCACCTTGGACCTCATGGGGGAGACAGACAGGCAGGAGGCCCGCAGCATCTTTTCTTCTCCCCCCCCCAAGGCTGCTGCCAAGGAGGACCCCATGCGGCCCTCCCTTCGCACCGCAGCCTCCTTTGCATCGCGGGACCCAGGTCTGGAGCAAAGGCGCTTGGTGGCTCCCGTGATGCAAAATGCCCCGCCGGACAATTATTTGGAATACATTCTAACATCTTATCATTTTCCATAGCCATAGCTGTATGAATACTTTGAGAATCTTTCTCTGCAAATATTAATTTAAACTAAAATAGATATTGATATATAAAAAAACTTGTAAAACAAATATTTCAGTACAAATTTAAATGTATATTAAATGTTAGCTAGTTAAAGATATTTAGCTAGTTAAAGATATTGCAGGTTAATGGGGAAATAAGAGACCTCTAAGTCTTCTGATGGTTCTGCTCTTGGCGGCTCCCGCGATGCAAAGTGGAGAGTTGAACTTGCTCACACAGGCACGTTTTACAAGCAAGGCTCCTGCTGCTAGATTGCGCAGTCGCTCAAGTGCAAGGCATGATTCGCTACTCCCAGATCAGGAGGCGGGAGAATCAGTGCCTCCTTTGCATATGAAATTTTTCGCTTTTTAACCCTTGCTTAACTTTTAAAAGGTGAAAAATTCCTTATGCAAAGGAGGCCCCTAGTTCTCTCGCCTCCTCCTATAGTTAACACTAAGCAGACTCCAAGCCACTGTGACTTGGAGTCTGGTAGCAATTACCTTGGCTTTAATTATTTTTAAAAAATTCTTTAAAATTCTTTCCTTTTCCTGAGGAGACTGGTGAGGCCCCGCCTTCCTTGCCTCTAGTGACTGCACGTCCCTGATACACATACATCTTCTGACTCCATTACTTCAGATAACTGAAATAAGTTGTTAACAATTAAGCAAAATTGTTATACTTTTTATAGACTTGATTTTCCACTTTTTTTGTATATATATATGACTAGCCCACCTTTGAGAAAAAGACATAACTCTTAAGGGAGAATGTAAGATTAAAGTTTAAAAATTAACTCCCTCCCATTTTACTTTTGCCTTTTTTGTTTCAGGGATGCCCTCTGTCTGTTTACTAGTTATACTTCTTTTATCACTAATCAGTTTGATTTCTGGAGAAACAGAAGTAAAGTTTACAGGACAAACAGAATTTGTAGTGAATGAAACAACTACAACGGTTATACGTCTTGTTATTGAAAGAATAGGAGACCCAGTGAATGTCACAGCAATAGTATCGGTAAGAAATGTTTCCAATCTAATTGCTCTAATAGCAAATATTTATGTGGTTTCCTTTCTGAAGTGGAATTTTTTACTTAGGGGCAATATGTCAGCCATAAAGATGTTTGTTTTAAGAGTGTCATAAGGTGCTAATAAGCAGAAATAAGATATATTTGTTTTTAATTTCTGGATTGTGTATGGTATGTATTGCAGATTCATGGTGAAAATACAGGTGACTTTTTTGACACATATGCAGCAGCATATATATCCCAGGCAGAAACAAATCGAACCGTTTTCATTTCTGTGTGTGATGATGATATTCCAGAGGCTGATGAAACATTTATATTTTATTTGACATTACAGGTAGGCATTACTTTTTCTACATATATACATACGTACATACATACATACATACATACATACATACGCGCACAAATGGTGTACACACATATAGTATATACTGTATGTATATGTTTGTGTGTATTGATATATTTTTTCTAATGTTGGTTTATTTACTGCCATTGTGTACTAGCTGTTCTTTATTATCTCAACCATTCTCTTTAATTGTGGGGGGGGGGCTCAATTTTCTTGAGAAGTAATTTTAGGGAAAGTTACACTGATATAAGGATCTTGTATCTTCCTTAGTTACAAAGGGAGTCCACCTATCCTTCATTGTTACAATGTCTCTCCAGCAATCTGCAGCCATACTAGCTTCTTATCTTCAATTTAATATTTAGGAAATTAAAAGTCTTTATGAAGAAAAGGAAGGATGCACAGTCAGGGAATTTGTGAAGTAAGGGACAAAAATGCTACATAAAACAAGAACATTGAGAGTACAGTGTCACTTGCCACCTCAAATCAGTAAAGCCTCAGAATACTGGGAAAAGATGTGGCTTCTTTGAAGAGGTGCAGATGGGCGCTAGATTCACCTCCCTCCCTTCTATTTTTGAGTAGAATCCAAAGCATTGTGGTATTAATCACCTCCCAATCAAATCCCCTTATAAGTTTTATTTGAAATAATTTTTGGTTCTGATTCCCCATTTTAAATTGTTTGTTTAAAAATAACATTTAAAATTTGACCTTCCTTAATTTCACACTGACCTATAAAATTTTATAACAACAATCTCATTCAATTTCTGAATTGGATAGAAAAAGAAAATTGAACCCTGATCGCTTTGCAACCATCTCTTTACTTTCCTTGTATATTTATCAAAAACCTGATATAGATTTATTTATCTGAGATGACAAAATACACACATCTATAATAACTTTCAAGTAAGAGTATTTGATTTTCAATTCAGAAAACCCATTCAAAAATATTGAGGACTTTTTTATTCATTTATTATTATTTAATAAATTTGTTTGCTGCCCATCTCACCATGAGGTGATTTTTACTTTGTTTTGTTATTCTGACCTCTAGCATTATAAGATTCAGGTCACTGCATAGAGATTACTAGTTAGTATGAGGTAATTACTTAATGAACTTCATTATTATATAATATGCACCTTTTTTCCTTTAAAGTAAAATTGATCAATGAAATAAATTATTGTTTTAAATATAATCAGTGTGGTCTCTATAATTTTTTAGTCATAACTGCAAAATGATTTCAGTAGTGTTTCACACAAAAGCTGTTCAGGTTCTTGAGGGAGGAAAGGAATGCATATTTTTCATCTAGCATCTTATTGCTATGGTATCATTAACTATGATTAATGATTGTCAAAGTTTGAGTCAAACACTTTTTTGTTTAACCAGACTGAGTCTATAGGATTTGAGTTCCATGAAAGGTGCTTTTACAGATTCCCCTCATTTGAGTACTTTCCCTGGAATGTGTCACAAACATTTGTTTGTTCTGTAAACACAGACATTAGTGAATAGAAGAAGGTTTTCGCCTGTTATATATATAGATAGTTTTGTTTACCCTTTTTTCTGTTTTGTCTGCCATGTTTTTTTAGAAGCCGCTTCAAGGAGTAAAGCTTGGATTGCCTAGAGCTGTAACTGTAACAATTTTATCAAATGACAATGCTTTTGGAATTATTTCTTTTGATATGGTATGTTTTCAATTACTGCTTCTGTTTACTTAAATTAGAATGATAAGAAAATATCTGGCAAAGAAAATGTGCTTGCTTATTATTTCAATGTATATCCTTTTCAAATAAAAAAATCATACTTAAGTTTATAAATAGAATATATAAATGGAATGTTGTAAGCTGCCCAGAGTCAGCTATGCGTGTCTCTGTAAATTTCTTTAATAAATAAATAATGTGTGAAATACTGCAAACTCATCAAGCAAAATCACATCAGTAAGAAATTAATAATAGCACCGACAGAACAGCAACAAAACAGAATAAAAGATAAACATCTATTTGAATGTTAAAAAATAACTATAAGCAGCTTCATCAATATAGCATTCCAAAGTTATTAGCTGTCACACCAAACCCCCCACTCTTATTTCCCCCGTAAAAAATTCCTGATACTTTCATCTCAGAAAGGAGAAATTCTCTTAAAAATATTTTGAAAATTGACATCATAATGGACATTCAAAGTACTGCGGTTGATAGTTTATGCTCAAAGCTTAAATCATAGCTTAGCAATAAACGTCACATCTACTCAATCAAAAACAGGATGTTATTATTTGAAAGTTATTTGCATAAATGCATCCTTTCACTATTTAAATTAGCACTTTTTGGTTTTGGAATTTTAAGATTGGATGTTTACAGTTTTCTTCCAGCAACCATAAGTCTTTGTGGTTTCTTTATCCATGTATATATTATTACCTATATTATCACTTCAGAAATGAAATAGGGACAGTGTATGAATGTAATGATTAGCAAGACACCACAAGGTCAGAGTTAAATAAGTTGAAAATAGCTGTTCATTGAATTTGGGGGGGGGGGAGGAATAAGAAACAGAAGATAATGCAGAAGATAAAGCATTTTCCCATTAGTGAATTGTTTCTTAATAAGTCTTATAAACTCTAGTACTACTCTACTCTTAAGGGTATGATTTAACATTAAATATATTATATTGTAAATATATAATTGATTTATTACATTTAATAAATCAATCAATAACATATATAAATAATAGAATACTAATTATTTGTAGCACATGTTTCAGTGGGTGAAAAAACCCCAATCATTAACAATATTGAAATCTTTGATATATTTGATTATAGAATCAATTTGAAAAACAGTATCTCATTATTAGATGAGTTCATAAGGTAAATTAATTTATCACTAGGAAGATGTACATGTGTAAAATAGCCCTTTGTATATTCCGTTCCCTAAATATTTCATTGATGCCTTATTTTTTTTTGTCTCCCTCCCTCTCCCTCTCCCCATCCCAATCTTCAATCTCATCTCTGAATTTTAGCCTGCCTTAATTACATTGACTGAGCCCAGAGGTGAGAATGAATCTGTGCCTTTTGCTTTAGTTAGAGAGAAGGGAACCTATGGTTCTGTCACTGTGTTCTATGAGGTAAGCATGCTGAAATATGTTTACCTTAAAAACATTATTTTGAATAAACCAAAAAGTTTGAATCATTGTGGTAAATGAATACGACACTTCTTAAATGAAGTAGAGCTTGCCATTTCCAGATATTCCTACTGGTACTTAGTATGACTATTTTTATTTTCAGTATAGTCGCCTGACCAGATCACTGTAATCAGATCATTATTAATATCTATCCTGTCCTGCTGATGTTGGGTTGTGAGGTCTTGGGAGTATTCAGCATAACCAGGAAATATTGCCCCTAAATTGTGTTATTGAAACAACAGAAAATTTTTATGGCAAGAATCAGGTTTTTTCAGGACCAGAAAACTTACTGAAAAAGACATATATTGATGTAATAATTTCACTTGTGATCTAACATGCCATGCTGGACTTGATAAACTTGATCTTTCAGCCAAAGCTACAGAGATTTTATAATGACCTTGTTAGGAGCTATAAAGTCTGACACACTAGTGATTTTAAATTCTGCTCCTTTTTTCTTCCAGTAAAGAGATGAACAGCTTTTAGAATTGGTAGATCAGTTCAAAGTCAGATTTTGCCATTTCCAGATATGGAATCTAATAACTCCTATTACATGAATAGGTATTTGGAGAAATCCTTCTTGGCTGTAGGCATGATACATTTCAGAATCATAAGAATTTTTAGGCAAATGCTAGAAACACATGTCACAAATTAGCTTTATTCTACAAAAGCATAAATAACCAGTTTTTGATACATCCTCATCAAATTTATATTAGCCTTTTGAAAAAAAAAACCATTTATACCTCATAAACCCCATAAAAAGGACACATTCTAATTAAAACTCTTCCTTCTTGTATTTTGAGTTTATATGGTATTTGGCATGTATAGTATAGTATCCAATTCAAACTGCCTGCATGTATTAAATCCATCTCCTGATTCTTAATGTATTAGAAGAAGACTTACAGTACCATTTTTATTTTTGTTTTATACATGTGTTCTACAACAGTTGAAAGTGTACAAAACTGCTGTGGATGAATATGGATATTTTAAACTACTGAACCTCCATTTCGAATAGCCATTTCCTAATTTTTTACAATAACTGTTATTGATGCAGTCCTCAGATTTCCTTCAGAAATTATTGTCCAAACATTTTGGAGATCTTGTTTTCTGAACATTTTAATTGTAGAAGTTAACAATATGTATTTTAATTGATATAACAACTCAGTATTTCTATTAAACATCTTCAGCTTTCTTCTTAGGTACAAGGTGGCCCAAATTCTCCTGAAGAAGATTTGAGTCCAGTGAAAGGAAATATAACTTTTACACCTGGCACAGCTGTCTTGATTTATAACTTATTTGTTCTTGATGACCAGGTAAAGATATATTTCAATTATATTTACCCATTTGATCAATTAATAAATTAACAAAAAGATAAAAGAAAAATGATTAGCGGAGTTAATCGTTTGGAAGGAAGTTAGTTTGCTTGCAAAGAGGTTACAGTCGTTCAGTTTTTTACCATCAAGCATTCCTTGTAATTCATGCTTCACATAGTTTTTGAATCTTCAAAGGAAATAGGTGGCTGAATTTAGTGCAAGAAAATAAAGCAAAAAAAAAAACATTTAATAAATGTTCTAATCTATAAAGTACCAATTACATAAATCTGAATGAGAAATATAAATTATGCTTTAGTAATGTATATTTTATTTATTCTAGGTATCAGAAAATGATGAATTATACATTATATATTTGAGAAGCGTGGAAGGGGGAGCTGAAATTAATTCATCAAGAAACTCTGTTGAGATTATTATTAAAGCAAACGACAGTCCAGTGCGATTCACTCAGAGTATTTATATGGTACATGAAGAAGATGATATAATAGCAATCACAGTAGTTCGAGGAACAGATGATAGTGGAAATAGAATTGGACCAGATGAAAATCAAGTTTCCATATGCTACAGCATTGTAACTGGGAACTCTACACTACATGCACAGCTTAACTTAGACTTTCTAGATCTACAGCCAAATACAACTATTGTTTTCCCACCTCTGGTGCATGAATCTTATATTAAATTCAAAATCCTTGATGATGCCATACCAGAAATTGCTGAGACGTTTCATATCATGCTACTTAAAGACACTTTGCAAGGAGATGCCATTTTGAAAAATCCATCAATTGTCCAAGTTACCATTAAACCCAATGATAAACCATATGGAGTACTATCCATCAATAGCATCTTGTTTATTCAGACAGTTGTTATCAATGAAGATCAGATGCTGAGGTATTGTGTTACTTTCTCATATTGATATCAGAACATATAATTTTGGTTTATAATTTAGCTAATTTTCTTAAATATTTTAATTAAATCATTGATACTGCTTCAGTATCAATGGTTTTTTTTAGGATTTTCTGGTTTTTCTTTTAAAATGCTGTTCTTATTTTAGTAAGACTATTTTAGACTGACTTTCATGAAAATGAATATTCACAGAAACACAAAAATGTCACATAAAAAACCAGGAAAATGGTTTAACAATTTTTAAAATTACAGTCTTTAATCATTCAGAAGGAATATTGAAGTCAGTGGCATCATAGTAAAGAAAACAGTCTCTACAAATAATAATATATAGAAGGTTTGTAAAGAGAACCTTTCTAGAACATCTTAAAACATGGTGAAAGTGGGATAGATTGATATTCTCCTTCTCTGTGTTTGGGTTCAATGCTATATAAGACTTTAAAGATAAAACAAAATACCTAAAAGATATTGATTTAGGCCAAGAAATAAACCAATTATGGGTGTTGGGAAGGAGGAAATCAAGGTAGCTATTGAAATCATATTATCCCAAGTGATCAAGATAGCAACTGAATTCTGTGACCTGGACCTGCTCCTTTTTAACATTTGACACTTCCCACTGACTGTCAATCAAAGCAGTACAGTTTTATCAAGGTAAGTTTAATGAGATTCCATTTGCATCAGCTTCAAGAGAAAGTACACTTTCAATTCAATATATAAACCAGAAGTTTATCAAAGCATATCTAAATCTGGATCAGTTGGTGATGACACAATATGGAGATGACAAAATATGTATCACAATGTTGCAATGCAAACCATACTTGTGTGCAATGTTAGGATATAAGTACAAAAGAAGAGATTTCTGTCATGCAGTTCCAGTTCATAATTCATTATTTCTGGATCACTAGCTTTTTTATTGAATAGTTCTGCCTATCAGAAATAGTCATAAGTGAAAAGCTAAAAAAAAATAGGGTCAAATACACAGAATGATTGAGAGGATTTTAAAGATTAATATTCAGTTGAAACCAGAACTTCTCCACCCAGGACTAATGGATTAACAGTTAGAAAAAAACCATGGAACATTTTTTATATATGATAACTGCAGCAAGATGGAAAGATTGTCTACAACAGAGGAAGGTTTGGTGAAGATGATGGGGCTTCTCGGTGGCAATTTGATCAGAGAAAACACTATCTACATTTATCGGTGACTGGAAAACCCTTATAGTCTTTTTTCATTAAAAAATGTTCTTTTTTTAACTATTTTTAAAAAATAGTTCTTACTATTGTTATCAAAATTCTGAAAAGCAATTGTGTCTGTGCGCATTCATAGATGGAAAAATAGCTTAGAGCTTTGGTGATATAAATGGAATGGAATGAAACTGTGCAATGCTTTGTAAGAGGCTTTGGAAAATACAGAAGGGTGAAAATAACATCTATCTGAGACTCTGCCTTCATCTTCTAACATGTTCCAAAGCACCTCTTTTAAATCAAATCTGAAGTATTTTAGAGACCTATAACGGAGTCAGTACTGCAACTGGTACCAGTCAATGTTACACATAGAGTATTACTCTTATTAATTTTTTGTGCATCATGTAGGTATGAAGGCATCACTGTTGTAAGGAATGGTGGAACACATGGAAATATTTCAGTTTCCTGGATTATAACTCGCAACAGCACTGATACTTCACCTGTGACAACAGATCTCACTCCAGACTCAGGGGTGTTACATTTTGCTCAAGGACAGTTATTGGCACCCCTCCATCTGAATATCATTGATGATGATGTCCCTGAAGAAGCAGAGCCATATTTGCTTCAAATTTTAGATCATACAATACAAGGAGGGGCAGAAGTGAGTGACCCAGCTGAGGTATGTCTGCATTTATTCTTCTGAAAAGCTGCAAGCACTGAGATGGTGTTTGGGCAAAATTAATACATAGAAAATAATGCTAAGATGTGTCCAAGAATAGCTATCTTATTTTTAATCTATAAAATGATATTTACTGGGATAATATTGTAAGGATTATGTGTGCTTTCCTGTACTAGATCAATTTTGATCTTAAGAAAGAAATGCTTTCTACCATGAGAAAATCCCATTTTTGGAAACTTATAAAAAAATAATAGGGATAATAGAGTAGAATAAAATAGATGGGATGTTAAATTTTGATGTAAATTGCATAGGAATACTTAATGCTAAGGTAGATAATAGCTATTTCTCAATTGCTGCAAAAGTTTGCCTGCTTGCTAAAAAATTATTGCTTTTAATAACGTGGTATTAAGTGGTCTCTTAGATAATTTCTAAAAACCTTTGATTTGTGAGCACACTATTTAAGAGTACAATGATAAAATTATATCCTTAAGATTTACATTTAAAACCCTTCTTGGTGGTATGGCCACTTATGTTGAATTGCTATTAGTAGCTCAGTTCTAGCCAGATGTTGGAATATGGGAAAGCTCTAGATTTATGTCAATGTCTCTCATGCACCTCCATATTAAATTATGAGTTAAAGTCAAGATAGCAAATATTGAGTTCTTAGATTTTATCATTAGATGGCTAAAAATATAAATTAGAATAATATCAATGATGAGAAAATATAATTGGGTTTGAATTAGAAATTTGCTTTTAACAAGAATTTTGTTTGCCCTTCTTGTAGCTTTTGTTCTACATTCAGGACAGTGATGATGTTTATGGTGTAATTCAGTTCTGTCCTTTGGAGAATCAGCAGATAGAAAGCAGCCCAGATGGACGCTTTTTGTCCCTTAGCTTTGCAAGGCAAAGGGGAACTGTGGGAGATGTGAAGCTCTTTTATATTATCATGTATATTCCTTCTGGACCTGTGGATCCTGAACGAGCTAAAGAAGGTGTTTTAAACACTTCCAGAAGAAGTATCCTCTACTTTCCACAAGGAAAACCTAATGACACCATTAAAGTACCAATAAGAAATGATGCATTTCTTCAAAATGGAGCCCATTTCTTAATACAGGTATATAAGTTATATGCATAAAAGTCTCAAATCATTTGTGATACATAATATTATGTCACAACTGTTCAATGAGATGTATCCAAGCAATCATTATTTTTTAAAACTCACCATAGTAATGAATATTACTTCCCAATATACTACTCTGCTGAAAATCCTGAAAAATTTTATAGCATGTTTCGATAAAACTTTTCAATTGATGAGTGGTAATACTTTTTTTCTGTAAAAGAAAAATTTTGTGTGAGATTCAGAGCAAATAAATTTGAAGAAAATGGGAAGGGAATGGGGGAAGGAATTGAAAAAGTGAGAATTATTATTATTTTTTAATTATTATCTCAAGGATATTTTGAATTGATTGTTTCTTAATATATCTCAAGAGTTGTGATACCATTGTGATCTTATATACTTATATGTTAGGACTCTTCTTGATTTCCATGTATTATAGCCAGACTGTGGTAAACAGAGAGATGGGAAGTAAAGAAAAAGTTCCAGGTTTTCTATATCAATGAAGAAGGTACTTCTACACAGCTCCATTTCTATTTCTCAGTGTCCTCAAAATGTGTGGAAGACAGCCATAGAATTGTGTTTCCCCCTGCAAATTTTGGAAGGCTGAGAACAAGCAGCACCATAGCTGATCAATGTTTCCTCTCACTTAGAATAGTGTAAAAATTACCTTCCAGTCAGCATCCTGCCTCATAGACTAAAGAGGAAAAGAGAAAGAAAGAAAAATAAATTGCAAAACGCTCCTCCCTACCTTCCATTTAAGTACATGTTTTCTGTGTTTGTCCATTCAGAAAAAAACAACAGAGCTATTAGTATGTTAAAATTGCTTAGCCCTCAAGAGACTTACTGCCAACAAGTAGTACAATATATATTTCCAGGAAAATAAGGAGTGTTGTATTAGAATACTGATAATATTCAATTGTACATCCCTGCCCTGGAAAATTAAATGATGCTGTGGACATCCTATCTGAGTTTCTGGAGGCTGTGAGGATCTGGATGGGGAGCCATAGGCTTTAACTCAACCCTGGCAAGATTCAGTGACTTTGAATTTTGAACCTCTTTGGTTCTGGGACTAAAGCATCTTTGGTACTGGATTGGGTGCACTGCCCCAATCAGATCCTATGTGCAATCTGGCAGTCCTTCTGCAGTCATAATTCCTGCTTAACTGGCTGAAGGTCAACTCAGCCTTCTATCCTTCCAAGGTCAGTAAAATGAGGGCACAGATTGTTAGGGGCAATATGCTGATCAGTTAGAGAGGGCTGGAAAGCACTGTGAAGTGGTATATAAGTCTAAGTTCTATTGCTATTGAATAACACATGACAGTTGAGATCAGGAGGGCCTTTGCACAACTTCATATTGTGCACCAATTGCATCCTTTCCTATATCAAAAGGACCTGCTCATGGTCACTCATGCCCAGTTACTAGTTTGTTTCTAGGTTGAATTCAAGGCGCTAGTAGTTGACCATTAAAACCCTTCATGGTATGTGATTGGGTTATTTGAGGGATCCATCAGAGAGCACTTGTTATAGTTCTGTCGCCTAGGGAGCTATGTTTGGTGATAACAGGCTTTTTCTACTGTGGTGCCTGCACTGTGGAATTTTGTCCTCCCTGAGATAAAGTTGGTCTCATCATTGTTGAGCTTTCAGAGATCTCTCAAGAACTGGTCATGCCAGCAGGCTGGTGACTCCAGGGAACAGGTGAATTAGTGAGGTGGCTCTACTATTTTTAGTTCCTTTTGTCTATTATTCTATACTTCAGTTTGTTATTTATTCATTTATTTGTATCTCAAATGTATCTACAAATAATGCAAAGCGATAAACATTCCTCCTCCTATTTTTCCCACAAGAACAACCTCATAAGGTGGGTTGACCTGAGAGAGAGAGTGTGTGGCTGGCCCAAGGACCCCCAACTGGGTTTCAAGTCTAACTTGAACTCACTGTCTCCCACTTTCTAGCCTAGTGTCCTAACCACTAGACCAAACTGGGTCTCAGTTTTTAATACTTTTTAATGTATTTCATTAATTGCTTTTAATTTTTTTGCACAGTGCCTAGTGTTGTATGTTTGTGCAGTGGACAACTATATAAATTGGATGGATGGATGGATGGATGGATGGAGATAGATAGATAGACAGACAGACAGATAGACAGAAAGACAGACAATGTTTTAAGTAAGTACTTCTCAAGCAACAAATGGGAGGGTATCTCAAAGGTATCAGATTGATTCCAGTATTGTGCAGTGGATTGAATGATCATCCATTAACATAGTGGAGGAGGCTAGATGCCAATACCTCTACCATCCAGTTACCCTTAATTACTGGAACTTCTCCCATACCGGATAGATGATACCTTTCCTCTATCACTAATGCAGGGAGGAGCTGTTGAGATTCCTATGAGCATCATTAAGTCCAAGTTACTTGTCAATTGTGCCTTGAGTGAGAATTTTTGGTTGATAATTCCATGTGTTCCTTTTGTTTATACACAATAATTTCAGGACTCTTCTGTGACAGCAAAATTCAAAAGTCTTAATAGTTTTCCTATCTTGTTTCTTCATAGTACAACTTTAACTTCCATACAATGTCATAAGGAACATCATGGCTTGCATGAGTCTGATCCTTGTAGGTATGCAGGTAGTACTCCATTTATGACCATTCATTTAAATGCTTTACAGCCGGTAAAGCACTTCCAACCATCACAAAACCACCCTAGATTATTGTAATCTAGATGTTTGGCAACCTGTTCAAATTTATGACTGTTTGCTAAGTGTCCAACAATCCTGTGATTGCCATCTGCAATGACCACTTTGCTTAATGACCAAGATTATGGGCCCGACTGTGATCATAAATCAAGGACTACCAAAAGATACATCATAGCACTTGACATGATTTATACACTCAAAGGCCTTTCTATAGGCAGTGAAGCACACAGTGACTTCTTTCGTATATTCTTTAGCTTTCTCAATTACCGGTATCTAAGAAGCACCTACTCATGTACCATATTCTAATTTCGAAGCTTATTTCTATTTTATATTTACTTATTTATACAAGTCACTACATGGATCCATCCAGATTTTTTACTTGGCAAAAATGTAGAAGTGATTGGCTATTTCTTCCTCCTGTGATTGTACCTGGCTCCCAATTTTCTATTTAAACATTTATAGTTATAAGCTTTTTTTATTCATCCCTTCATCCCAATGCTATCTAATTTTTACACTGCTTAATTTTTTTAAAACCAAAAAATGTTGTCTGGTCTTCATAGATAATTTTTAGATGACTTCCTATTTCTCAGTTTCTTTGTCAGTGCAGCTGATTCAATATTAATTTGTGCTGCTTGTACAAACATAATGATCATGCCATTAAAAATCTTTAATTCTGACAAGGTTATTTACATGTCTGTTATAATTGAGATAAGGGCTTGACTTTTTTTCATTTTGGGTTTACAATTTTTTTTAATGTATGGGATATTCAAATAGCAAAAAGTAAATCTCCAGTATAATAGATAATACTAATAAGTAACAGCTAAAATATGTTCTATTGCATGTCTATTAACAGAATTTTTTAAATTTTTTCTTATTCAGCTGGAAAAAGTTGAATTACTGAATATTATTCCTCGAATTCCTTCTATAACTCCTCGATTAGGTGAAATTAAAAATATATCTTTAAGAATTACGCCTGATATAGCAAATGGAGAAATTGGCTTTATCAGTAACCTTCCAATAATTTTTCATGAGCCAGAAGATTCTCTTTTTGCAGTAGTAAGTTAATCTTTCTATGCCTTGCTCTTATAAATTAAGCACAGTATTTAGAAAAAATAGCATTATACCTTAATGCAGGAAAGTTTGGTAATACATATCTGAAATATTTCTAATGTAATCATAGTCCTGAAATGAATGATTATTTTAGCAAGTCTGAATCATAGTTTTAAACTGAAGTTTATAATTCATTTGTTCTTGATTATGAAAAGTCTTGTGAGTGTTTAAAATTGTGAGTTTTGTAGATAAAATAAAAATTACTTTCTCACTTCATCTAAAATCAAGCACCACTTAACCTTTTTGTCGTATAATTTCATGGTGATGATCAAGCTAACAGTGTTTAAAGAACTCAGTTATCAATGATTTTTATTTTTTATTCATAAAAAGTTGCAGGGTAAATAAACAAACATACTGAGGACAAATGTGTATATACAGTATGTCCTCAGTTTCAGAACTATGTTGTAAAATGTTAGATTGCTTATAGCTTGGAAAATCAAGATATGCAAAATTACAAGTTTGATATTTGTTCTAGAGCTCCATTCCTTTGCATCGAGATGGGACAGATGGACAAGCCACTGTATTCTGGAGCCTAACACCTACAGGCCTCAATTCAAAAGCTGTGACTGTTGATGACATATGGCCTTTTTCTGGTTCAGTTCTGTTTTTATCTGGACAAAGTGACACAGCAATCAACATTACTATTCAAGCTGATGATATACCTGAAATGAATGAGACTCTAACATTATCATTAGACAGGTAGTCGTTGATAATTTTTTAAAAAACAAATTAACATCATGCTTTCTCCTGATGCAGTAATATAAAAGCTTATGTAAGACAACTATAATATAATAGATGGCATGTATTTAAACTGTAATTTTAGGCATACTAACCTTGCATTCAGTGTAGAAAGCACAGTGGGATTCATTTTTTAGAAAAACTGAGAACTGAAGCAAGCAGGGATAGAACTAAAGATAGACAAGGACACCACTATCTATTATTTCTGCAGAATAAATTTAAGCATTTTATCTGATTAACCTTTCTTTTACTTCACACTTAAACTGAACATATATAGTTTAATAATTTATAGATATATACATTAACTTAATATTACCTAATTATTTTATTATACTTTAGGAACTGTATTTTATCATTTAGCTAACCTTGTAGCAACATATAATTTTATGCTGGTCTTTGACTGAAATTAAAGATTGTTGCTCTTTTCTGTTACTTTATGTCTAATTTGTTTATAAAGTATCCATCATCTGATTTGAACTTGTTTAGTTGAAATGGTAACAAAGCAAAGTTTCAGTCAGATTTCCTTCTCGCTCATTCCTGATTCTAGGATAATCTTGAAAATTTATTCATTTAATTATATGCTGTAATCTGAAAAACAGACTGTTGCAGTCTAATATCATCAGAATAAAGTTAATTATTGGGTTACTAAATTTATAGCAGAAATGAAATCGATAGCAACTGTTAACTAAAGATACAAGTCATTAAGCTTTTAGCTCAAGTATAGTATAGCTTTTAGCTTGATATCTTATAGCATAAGTTAATTTCATAAGAGGTAAGTAAGATGTAAACGTAAACATTGCTTTGCTTTTACCTAGAATCTAAATATCCAAGACTATATTTGTTGTATGCAGTTGTTATCTTTATGTTCTTGCTTCTGTACTGTGAATGTGCAATGATTATGTCATCTACATAGATATTTCTAAAATGCTTCCTCATCTATCTCCCTCCCAGATGAATCCTTAATTTTCTGTTTTCTCAACTGTTGTATTTCTAAAAGTTCTCCTAATGTAGTGGGAACTCACATTTCTAGGAAAGAATTCTGACCTTCTATAGGTACAGATACAACAAATCACAGAAATAGAGACAGAAATTTATAATTAATCAAAGGAAATGTTATCTTACAATATTAGGGGTAGGATTAAAAGTTTTATTTCATTTCAGATTTTCTTTTAGGAAAAAAACCTCATTCTTTGTTCAGTTCCAACTTTTTGTTTTTAGATGAAATTCTTATAAGCTTGGGAAAATGTTTTTCTCATTTGTATCATTCTTATTATTAATTAGCACATCCACATACACCCATCTGTACAAGGTTAGACAAAAGCAACCTCTGTCCTTCATTATCTTGCACAATCAGTAGGACTGTTTAGTAGATTGACAGGTGCTGGAGGCAATACACTTACCCACAAAACAGACTTTTTTAGTCTGATCCAAAGCACTGAGTACTTACAAGTAGTCCTGAATAAAAATGGACTCAACTGCTGGGCTTCTGTGCCTGAACACTGTACTAGGGCAGCCAGCAACTAACTCTTTGAGCAATGCTGTAATGAAGGGCTTAAAGAGTCCTTGACATCCCAATTGGTCACGGGGTCATCTGAATTACAAGTGCAAATTCCTGAACCTCTTACTAGCATTGCTGGAACAAGGATTCCCATAAATAAACAGTAGGCCTCTGAAAAGTGCTGTATTATAATCTTTCATTTGATTTCCACCATCTAAAGAACTCTCATACAAAGAACTTGGCCAACAGTGGTTTTATTTCTGTCCCCCATTTCTTTCTCTCTGCATTGACAGGGTAGAGACAGAAAGGTTTGTCGTGTACTTTGGGTAAGTGCCGCAAGCTGTGTCTTTGTTTTCAGTGAACTAGCTTTTTTGTTTCGGAAGTGGTTTGTCTGGACAGGAATCTCCTTTGGTTTTTCTTTCTGCCTTGCAAGCCTTCTCAGGGAAAGCATGCTATTTAGTGCCCCTTGGTAACATGTCTTGGTGGATTGAAAACATTTTTTGAGGGGGAGGAGGGATTCCAACAAAAACAACAATAATGGTTATGAATGCATGGCTTGATGTTTGAAGATAGTCCAGTACAGTAGATGGCTTGAAAAACCTCTGTGACAAATCTCTTTTCACTGAGCTGTAGGAACCGGGTATATAAAAAGGTTATTTACAAAAGCCTTTAATCAAATTATACATTTTCATTGCAGCATTTGAATCATGCACAGCACAATTCAATGACTGCTGTTTATTTAGAAGCAAAATGGCTGCATTCAGTATGACTCGTCTTTGGACAAAAGTGTACAGGTTGCAAACTTAGCAAAGGAGCCTGCACACATTAATACAACAGGCTTTCAAAATAGACTACTGTGAAATGTAGGTTGTACTTTTTTATACAATCTGGCATATAATTAGGAACCTGAAGTAATATTTAACAAGATTTAAATTAAATACTTGTACACAAAAGTTCTGGCGGTGAAACAATTAAACTCAGTTCTATTTGCCAGGCGGCTTTACTAACCTGGAAGCAGTCATTGATTAAATAATTTTTTCCTCTCTGGAGTGTCCACATATTAAGAACAAGTCAAGATGGCAGCTGTAATTGCGTGCCTAAAGCTTCACCTTTTTTTTAATGTGTTGTACACATGAATTCCTCTGTTTTGCTATGTAATATGTGATCTGTTTTCCAAAATCCAAATAATCCTCAGAGTGGATTCTATATGTGATATTGAATACTGAGAAATATTTTATTTGGTTACTCTCAGTATTAGTAGACTGTTTTCTGACAAACTACACTGTCAGTGTAAAAGAGATTTTTTTTTTTTTTTGCTTAGGCAATGTTAGCGTACCTTTGGTAGAGCAAGTTTTATCTACTTCCTGAATGAAGCCAGTTCAGGACAAGCCTTTTTTGAGGGGGATGGGAGAGGGCAAAAATGTAATTTGGAGGTAGTGAAGTACAGAACCCCCAATGCTTTATAATTACAGTGACCATATAATAAAGGATAATCAGTCCCTTTAGAAAGTTCTTCTTTCGATTTATTTATTTTTCAAAACCTCACTTTTGTCCTTTATTTTGGTCATTTAACTTTTACTATACAAAAGGTGCCATTTAGTGCACAGTCTTTCACATTTGTGAACTGAATTTTTTAAACTAAATGTACACATACTATTTGATTTTAGATTTTTTAAAATAAGAATAGTTTTTGGTTGGTGGCTAATACAACTGCCTGATATGTAATACAGCCCAGGTTCGATTCCCAGTAAGGGTATGTAGCTTGAAATAGATCTATACTAGTCTCCCTTTATATTCTTATGAACCTCTTTTGGATTTTTCAGATTTGTCCTTTATTTTTGTCCAAGAATGTACCTTTACCATAGGCTATGGTCGATTTAATTGCAATCAATCTGCATATTCCACATGCGTTCAATTTTTTTCTTCAGTGTGAATGTGGAAAATCAAATCCTGAAATCTGGATATACTAGTCGCCAATTGATCATTCCAGAAAATGATGACCCTGGAGGAGTGTTTGAGTTTGCTTCATCTTCCAGAGGTCCCTATAGGATAAAGGTAAATATTCATATTTGAATTTGAAGAGAGCCATATCCTATATCAAAACTGACCTTTTGCATTCAATTTTTTTTTAAAAAATAATCATTTTATTTTACAGGAAGGAGAATCTGTCGAACTCCAGATTGTCCGTTCCAGAGGAGCACTTATGGAGCAATTTCTACTCTACACTATAGAGCCAAGGGACAGCAATGAGTTCTATGGAAATACAGGAGTCCTGGAGTTTAAACCTGGGGAAAGAGAAATTAAAATTACTTTGCTAACAAGGATGGATGAGATTCCAGAGGTAAAAAGAGGAAGGGGAAATTATTGATGTCTCTTTTAGACTAATAGTAACCAATACTGTTTAATGGATCTTATTGGGTTTCAGAGAGAGCTCATGATTGATTCTGAGCTGGGATCTGATCTATGGCTTAACTGAGGCCCTCACCAGTGCCTGAATTAAAGGGTATCTATGGACTTGAGTAGTGCTTTGTGGCCTCTCTGTGTCCATAAATCCCAGAACATTTTTTCATCATTCTGACTCATTCTAAGTTTGATTCCAGCTAGGCATGTCCATAAGAGATGACTGACATGTTCTTAGCTAAGAACCCTAAGAAGGTTTGAATCTATTAGACTTGAGCAATTTGAAATGCTACACGGCTAGTCCTCACTCAGTAATCACAAAGCAACTCCTTTGCTAAATGACATAGTTTTTACCGAAACATTATGTCAATATGAAGGACTTATAACCCCATTTCCCCTTGGCTGTTAAGAGAATCAACTCATTTGTGAGCATGGTTTAAAAATGTACTTCTATCCTCTCTATTATCTCTGCTTGTCTCAGGCCAATTTACAAAGCATACAAATAGCAATCAAGTGATTGCAGGATACTGCAATGTTTGTAAATACAATTTCAAGTTGGTTTTGGTGGAAGAAAGAAATCTAGTCTATTCAGATTCTAGATTTCTGTGTTAGAGGTACCCTTCAGGACTCTATTCTCCCCACACTCTACATAAAACTGCTGGACAATGTCATATGTTGATACAGAAGCAATGATGATATTCAGTTATATATCTCCACCGTAAACCAAACAGGTTTTGTTGTTAGGTTTCTTTTCCAGTGTCTGGAAATTATGACCTACCTGTAGAGTTAAGTAGAAATTTCCAATCCCAACATCTTAAAGTTATTTTCTATGACAGAAGAGAAAAGTAATGTTTACTGATTTTAAAGCTAAGTGCATTTTGAAGTACATTCACCTTTGTTCTGCTAGTCTTTCTTCAGTTAAATGTTCATGGACTTGCACCCAGAAAATACCAGTAGGAATTCACCAAGCTAGAAACCAGGAGACTCTGCATTCATCCTTCCTTGGACATGAAAGCCAGTTGGGTGACCTTGGACCAGTCACTCTTTCATAGCCCAAAATGATTATTGTGAGAAAATAGGAGAAGAAAGAAGTATTAGGCATGCTTGCCATCTTAAGCTATTTATACAAAAATAAAGGCAAGATATAAATAAAAATTAAATCTATGGAAGCATAAATATTGCATAGAATTTTATTTTGTCAACATTCTATGCAGAATTAAAATCAGCATTATCCATTAAAACAGAATGTCCATTAAATTAAAATAAAAATTTACACAGGCATAAAATGACAAAAAAAAATTCCTGTGTATTTTATGTACTGTATATTTGCAGCATAGTATGAGTAAAATGATGAATAGGATTTTAGGTATGTGTAGAAGGATATAGACAGATTTTGTCTATTATATTGAAAATTCAAGACACTTAAAATCAAAGGTGTAGTAGTAGTATTATCTAGATTATACAGCAGTGGTGAAATTCAAATTTTACTACCAGTCCTGTGGGTGTGGCTTGGTGGGCGTGGCAGGGGGAAGGATACTGCAAAATCTCCATTCCTACGCCACTCCTAGGGAATGGATATTGCAAAATCTTCATTCCCACCCCACTTTGGTGCCAGCCAGAGGTGGCATTTGCCGATTCTCCAAACTACTCAAAATTTTGCTACCAGGTCTCCAGAACCTGTCAGAACCTGCTGAATTTCAACCCTATAATACAGCATACAAAAACAGGATATATCTTACTAATTGATCCATCACAGTATTTTTCTAATGTTCACCATTATGGATACTTTATCTCTTCCAAAATGTAACTTGATATCACTGAAATTGCACTAGGATTGTACTGTGGCAGAAAAGAAATGTGAATGAATCATTAACCATTTTGAACTGGATTGAACAATATGTGGATGCTGCCTTTAAAAAAAAAAAGTAGTTAGTTTGTGGCACTCATTCAAATATCTATTCATTACTATGTTGCTAGTTCTGTCCCTATTGTTCTGATTCAGTTTCCCTGTTCTAGTTAGATGAATTTTATTCAGTGCTCCTCAGTAGCCATGGTGACGTGCCAAGTAAGCTGGGAAATGCTACAAGAGTCAACATCACAATTCTGAAGAACAATGATCCACATGGAATTATTCAGTTTGTTGACAATGTGATGATAGTAACAATAAATGAAAGTAAAGGTGAAGACTTCTATGCTGGTAATTCTCACTGTTTTCTTCATATAAAATATTTTCATAAATGAGAAAATATATGAGTATACTTTTAATAAGTAAAAAAAAAACTGTTAACCTTTCTACTATTTATTTACCAAAGTTCATTGTTTCGATCTTCTACCTGAGACACTAATATTACAAGAGTCATTGTGGCACAACTTTAATTATCATAATTTAACTTTATGGATTTAATATTTGCAACTGAATCAGGATTACAGATATCTGGACTCAATCATGGGATTTGATTTGAATTGCTATTTCTCCAACTAGACCTTGGGATTCCCAATCAGCACAAACTATTTTTACGTACTGTATTATATTTTATTTTTTTCCTTTCTGTATTATGTATGGTATGAATCCAATCACTGTGCCCTACTGGTAATACCTAGATTTATGCTTTGCATTATATGTGAACCCAATCATGTGGCTAACAAATCATAGTCATTACATTTAAACTATTAAACTCAATATTCGGTTGTACAACACTGACATCTAAAGTACTATTTAATGTTCATTTTGTAGACAGAACAGTAATTTGGAATTTGTTCATTGTTTCTAATATAAAATTATCTATGTGATATTATAACATTAAAAATCAAACCTCACATTAGTTTTGTATCAAGTTTTTCTTACCTGTCTTGGATGTTATCTGATGGAGATATCTGTATGCTTGTGTTTCAAAGCTGTTTTTAAAATAATAAGAAACCAAGGAACCTTTGGGAGCGTGAGTGTATCCTGGGCAACGGACTCCATTTCTACAAAAGATATTTTTCCAGATCGAGGAACAATTTTTTTTGGAAATGAAGAATTTTCAAAAGATATCACAATTTATTCAGTCCCTGATGAGGTATTCTTTTACAATAATTGTTATTTGTGGAAGAGGGGCAAATAAATTTATAACACATGAAGATAATTATTATAATTCCAAGAGGACTAACAATAAAGTACTGAATATTGTCCAAACTTAAACGTGAAAGGTCAAAAAAGGTATACCTGCATTCTTGAATGAGGGCTCGGTTGAAACATTCCTTTTAGCTGATTAGCTGAAAGCACTGTAATGGAATAATAGAAACAATGTATGCTTTGGACTAGATGTAAATTATGTCTAATATCTATATAAAATGTTTTATCAATCATAAGATTTAAATTTCATTACTATTACTAGGCAAGTATTCAATTAATGATTGGCATCTTGAGGTTAATTTAATACTATTAATACATAACTTTTGTGGGCTTTTTCCTCAAGATACCTGAAGAAATGGAAGTATTCATAATTAGTCTTCTCAATACTACAGGCGGTGCTAGCTTAGGAAATATAACCACAGCAACATTGCAGATCACCAAAAACGATTGTCCAATTTACTTTGCAGGTTAGTGCCATTCTACTAGCTTATGTTTAAATGCAAGAATAGTACTATTATAAGAAGCTCTGGACCCAAGAGTGAACATTTAGAACTGTATGAGTTATGCTGAACATTATGTTGCACAGACCTATGGCTAGGTGCATCAATCATGGTTTATATAACAAGTCCTTAGTAAAATAATTAAAGCCTAATTTGTCTCTTACCTTTCACTTTAAAAATTTGGTTTTGCCTTGATAATAGGAGTGAATATCTGTGACTTTTAGATATTATGATTTACATTTTTTTTCATGTGTGTGCCCCTGAGTTTATTATTGATTCCTGATGACTATCTGAATGAATCCCTGCAGTTTTCTGGGCAAGATTTTTGGAACTGGTTTACCATTGTCTCCTTCCTAGGGCTGAGAATTGGAATTGGAATTGGAATGTATTCAATTTGTAGGCCACCCTATTCCCTGAAGGGACTCAGGGCGGCTGAACAAAAGCCAAGGGAAGGGGAACAATTACAAAAAAGTAAGACAAAACAATCAGACAATACAGACGATTTAAAAACACAGCAGACACAGCAAATTTGAGTAGGGGTGGGGGAGAGAGAGTGAGACTGGCCCAAAGTCACAGAGCTGGCTTCATGTCAATTTCTCAGTGCCTTTAATCATTCCTTCAGACTACCCCTTTTACAATCTCTATCCACCTCAAATAACATGGCCAATAATAAGAATGATTAGAAGGTATGGTTCTGCAACATTGTAAAGACCAACAATCATCAATTTGGGGTTAGATGTTATATGGGTTACAAAATCAAATGTGCAAGCTAGAAATTTTTTAACTATGATTGACATAATCTATGTTTTAATGTGATATCAGAAGTTAGGCACTGAAATTCATATTACAATTATTTAATATATGTTTTTGAAAAACAATTTTTTGCATGCTTTTACAGTTAATGACTTAACTATATTTCAGATCCTGTTATTCAGAGGGTTCACGAAGGTGGCATTGCAGAATTTGTAGTTGTAAGAAATGACTCTGGTGCCGATGTTGTATCTGTTTTATATGCCACTATTGATGGAAATGCCAGTGCTGAAGATTTCATGTTTCGTGAAAAAAATGGAATGCTTTTGTTTGATACTGGAATAAAAGAACAGACTATAACTATGTTTATCCATGATGATGATATTCCTGAATCAGATGAGGATTTTTACATAATTCTCTTCAATTCTACAGGTTCAAATTATTATTCAATCTATATAAACTAATCGATTGCTGTTTCTTTAGATTGTTTTCTGCCCCCTGATTGATATTATAGGCAGTTAAGGATAGTTGGGCATTACCTTTTGACATTCTTCACACCAAAGTGTAGTATTTTTAAAGCCTGTATACTATAGTTGTCATTCTCCAAAGGACCTGAAGGCAGGACAAGAAGCAATGGATGGAAACTAATCAAGATACTTAGTGGAAGCAACCTAAAACTAAGAAGAAATTTCCTGACAATTAGAACAATTAGTGGAACAACTTCCCTCCAGAAGTTGTGAATGCTCCAACACTGGAGGTTTTAAAGAAGTGATTGGACAACCATTTGTTTGAAATGGTGTAGTGTTTCCTTTCTGAGCAGGGAGTTAGACTAGAAGACCTCTAAAGTCCCTTCCAACTCTGTTATTCTGTTATATCTGAAGCATATGTTTAGGGTACTTTATAATATAGCTTGTTCACCACTGTGACTAAAGTATAAAATACATTGTATAGTATTGTCTTGTTTTCTATTTTCATGCCTTTTGCTTTTAGAACCTATTTGGATAATATCTCTATGAGTTTTGCAGGGAGCAGAAAGATTATACATATTATACAGTATTATAAACTATTTCTTTGCTATCTTGGATGTCCTAAAATGTGTTCGGGTCTAGTGCTATGTACTTGAAGACCCAAAGATGAGGCAGATGTACTATGCAAATGTTAGAGAAGTCATAATCACTTTTTTTTTGTAGTCAAAGGGAGAAGATTGACTTTTGAACCTGTATTTGGAATAGTTGTGGAGATATATTTTCTCGAGTTACAATTCTATCTGTTTGTCTATCTATCAACAAAATCATTGTGTTTTTTTTAAGGAGACACAGTTGTTTACAAACCTAGAATGGCAACAGTTATAATTGAAGCAAATGATGATCCAAATGGCATTTTTTTACTTGAGTCTATAGGCAAAGCAGTGGAAGAAGGCAAAACCAATGACTTTTTGTAAGTAACTTTCAATTAAATATCCTTTGCCAATTTCACTAAGTATCTTGAATAATACTTTGAAATATTTTTCAGTGTGACTTATTTTTTATGATAGTTTATACAGCATGCAAATAGTGTCATAAACAATTTCCATGTCCAAATTTAACTAAATGAAGAGTTTTAATCATTCACAAGGAAAAATTAAAAATGCAACTGTAGCTGGAATCTTTGCAACCATTACCCATTTTTGGAAGTAGATATGGATATAACTTTTTGCTATTTTTCTTTGAATGACAAGATTACACAGCCTACAGCTTCTGGATCCCATAAAAACTATGGTGTGGGTTCCAAATCTCCTCCAAATGTTGCACCCAAATTGTAATTTTTTTATAATAGCATAATGGGAAGCTATTAAATTGATGAGGAATCAATTTCATTATCAAATGATATTTAATTAATTTGCTGATGAAGGGAGATCACCTGGTAAAACATAGAAAAGAATATTTAAAAATTAGGATGCAAGGAATTATGACACAAAATGTAATGAACAAAATCAGTATGGGAATCATGACACATCTTGAATTATTACATACTAAATCTGTGCAAAAATATAGCAATTTTTTAAGTAGAATTTTTTTATTTTTTCATTTTCATAACATATAATCACATGTATACTATTACATAGCCAACATCGTTTTGTATTATCAAATGTCTACATCAACTTATCTTACCATCAACTTCCGAAACACAATTATTAGCTCTTCTGTTCTCCATACACCATATTTGTCCTTATCCATCACTTTCTTCTCCCTATCTCTCTTCCCCCTCCCCACCTACTTTCCTCCCCCTGTCATCCTTCCCTACTCTACTTCCCCTTCCTCTCTCCTCCTCCTCTTTCCCCCCTCCGTGCCCTCTCTCCTATTCCTCTCCTCTTTCCTTACCTGTTTCTTTTTCTTCCCACTCTTCATCTCATTTACCTGGTGTATTTCAGCTCCTGAGCAAGCTCCATTTTATGTTGATAAAACAATTTAACAATAGTTTTTTCCCTCTGACATTGGTTTTTCTGCTGTCTTAAGAATAAGGTGCTTTCAGATATTATTATTATGATAAGCACAAAAATGTGAAATCACAGCTGCCAGTTCTTTAACGGAGGTTGGCCATCCAATGCACTGAGTTCTTTCCAAGAACTTAGGATGTCATAATGTATTGGTATAGTATAATGCAGATTGAAGGAGAGTGCCTTTGGTAATTGACAGGTACAAATGTTGTCAATATGCAGATTTTCAAAGTGCCGCCAGTGTGCTGGTAGCACTCCCGCTTCAAGGGATTTGACTGGTTCAGAAATATAACATATATAAACAAACAAACAAAGAAGAAAATACATTTTCAGCTTTCAGATCTTGGTACTATGTGATTTATCCAAGTTTTAGTCTTCTACTGTATTATCTCCTGTATTGTCATATCAATTATCCACATGTTTTCAACCATAGTTAAATCTGATATGTTAAAAGCCAAGAGTCTTATCAGTTTGTATTTGGAATTTCCATAATATTTTAACCTGCTCATTTTCAATGACTTTTTGAACTCTGTGTCCCCACCAATTCTTCATTACCGGCTCGTGATAATTTTTGCAGATGAATAATTATTGTAGTGAATAATGTTGCTGACAGTATCATTGATTATAATTAGTTTGTGCAATCTTCTTGCATGAGCTGACTGTTTCTTCTACTTCTTTGCACAATCTGCACTTTTCTTTATTTGATGATTTTTTTCAACTGTGAACTTGATTGCATTAGTAATTACTATTGTTGCCATTATTATTGTGTTGGGATTCCTTTATTCTGAAACTTCTTTGAGAGTTTACACAGCTAAATCTGAAAAGTCCTACTTGGAGATTTTTCATGCCATCCTTTAGATTTGAATAAAATCCCAAAAGCAACGAACAATGATTGTTCAGTGAAAGATAAGCATAGTGAGAAATATTGTTAAAGACACAAAACTTTATGTATTTCTTGTACTGATTTTATACAGGTGAAACTCGAAAAATTAGACTATCGTGCAAAAGTTCATTTATTTCAATAATGCAACTTAAAAGGTGAAACTAATATATGAGATAGACTCATTACATGCAAAGCAAGATAGTTC